TGACGCCCAGAGAAGGGCAGCAGTTGCCTCTGCATGTGGAAGCATCCCAGAGTACTGCGTGCTTTCCTCGACAGCGAATCTTGAGGTGGGTTTGACGTGAGGAATTCTGAGATTGCCACCGAAGCAATTTAACCACCTGTTTTTGTGTGTGCTTCTGCTGTTATCCTTTGTTTTCAAATATGGCAATATTATAAAGAAGTGAAGAGTGGAAATATACATATCAGCTTGGAAGACAGTTCCCATTGCGTTCTTTGCTAATTTCGTACGGCGTTGTTCTTGATGTGTAGACACTGCGGATAAGTATCTTCTGTTGAAACGTAAAAACAACAGGAATTACGATATATACGGGTTTGACGATGCGGTTGTTTTCGTCTGGAATGTGATAACTTGTAGTCTTGTGGCTGGTTACCGACGTTGGAGGAAGCGGGTTTCGCCAAAGCGTCAGTAACCACAGTTTCAGGGCCGCGCCATAGCTTAAGCGGTTAGTCGCTGGCTTCCTACCGCGGCGGCCCGGGTTCGATCCCGAGTCTGGGCGAGTGGGATTTGTAGTGGACAAAGTGGCGTTGATGCAGGTTTTCTCCGAGTACTCCGGTTTCCCCTGCCAATCTTCATTCCACCAGTTGCTCCACAGTCGCCCTCACCTATCATCTGGGGCTGGTACAATAGACCACAAGTGGCCGCAGTGCAAGGAACGTACTCCCACCCCACTAGCAATAAAGAAAAAAAAAACACAGTTTCACATTCCGGAAAGCAGAAGTTGAGAGCATGAATTGTAAGTGGCCGATCTGAGACGTTTCAGGCGTCGTTATTTCGTAGGTAAAAACATTAAAACCGCAAAATCTAGGCAGTGATGAACTGTAAAAGTATTCAGGAGTGTATACACATACGTGTATGAGTCAAAGCGTTTGAACGAATGCAGCCAAGCCTTCTTGTTCCGTCAGCTATGCCAGAATCGAATGAATCTTCAACGTTTCCATGACCGGACAGTAACGACTAACGTGTGATACTGGAAGTCCTTCGTGAACACGTATATACTTTAATTACTGAATGATATCAATATAAGAGGTGTAGCGGTCGGAATTTGTAAGACGTATGCATAGATCTGTTCAGCGAGCTAACTTTAGTGTAGTCTCCTCCTGTCTGTGTCATGCTTAGAAACAACTGTGTTCTCGCATGCTGTCTGCACATTGAGGCACGTTTCAGGCGATATTTATTTCTGGGAACATGAAAAAGTCACGTGAAGAATTGTATGATTCCTGTGGATACTGCAGCACTGGTATTTATTTTTGTTTTGGTCAAGAATCACTTTACCGAAAATAGAAAATTGGTAGTTGATGAAATCAAGGAAGATGAGATGGGCGGGACATGTAGCGCTTGTGAGGATTTGAGAAATGCATTTTAGAATGAAAATCCAAATGGAAGAAGCACGTGGGAGACATATGTAGACAGTTTAATTTTATTAAAATGTACCTTAAAGATATAGGGTTTGAGGGCGTAGACTGGATTTCTTTGGCTCAAAGTATATTAAGAACACGGTATGGAACGTTCGATTTTCCTAAAAGATAGGAAAATTCTGCATCAGCAGAGCGACTGTCAGCTTCTCAAGAAGGACTCTGCTTAGTGGAGTTAGTCCTAACATTAGACATTTATCCGATGCCTAAAAGTAGGATATGCTCCTTAACCTCTCCTACTTTTATACCAACCTCATTTTCTTTGGTGTAATCTTTTCACGTTGACAAGGATCTGGACACCGAGCCGTAGCGGTATCATCATTACAGCTGTGCTGGAGGAAATGCTTAATTGAAGAAGAGGAACAAGAGTGGATAAACCGTTACTTCTGCAGTCGAGGAAATGCAGCTACTAAGATCTGGGTTAAGTTAAACGAATTATTGTCCTCTCTTTGCACGAAGTGCCTAATGGGAGGTACCAGACATTTGTAGAGCCAGTGAATTTCTAAGATTGAAGTTCATAAAGAGAACGTAAAATAAGGCGATTGTGTTCGTTTGTATGGATATTTTCATCTCCGAAACTACGATTTTTTTTGTGAAGTTTGATGTTTTGGCCTACACTAAAAGTCATAGAAAGAATCATCATTTTTAACTGAATGAACCCGGCTTTAAATGAAATTGAAACCTGCCTTGCCATATCCCTCAAGAACGAAAAATAGAGGAAACCTCATCTCTACATCTTAATGATGTGTAAATATAAATAGAAATACTTGTCATTGTCAGACGAACTGGGAGCCTGTACTGACAGGCATGTTTTCTGAGTTTCCTGTTGTGGCAGATTACTTCACCTTTATAACTGCTAGGCGGGCGCATAGAAGACATCACGTCGAACAGTTAATTGTCATGTTGTCCTGTTAGTTGTCACTGGAGTCTTGTTTTTAGCAACTTGCTACCTGGTAAGGACTCATTCGTTGCTATCGTTTGTAATGGAAACTAGTGTTTACTTAGCCGTTGCTTGTCAACGGACATCTTGCTCTGGCTCCACTTTTCTGGCTTTCAGGCGTCATGTCACAGTATATTTCATATGATTCTCGCAGTTATTTCCCTGAATACCATTAATCGTTTGGTATTTATAACGGAGGCACAATGCGTTTCCTTCGAGGTACGAAGTGATTGGGTATGTAGGGTATAATATAGATGGGTTTCAGCCTTTAAAGGAAATATAGAAGTTCCAAGTTTCGAAAATTTCTACTTCACCAAAACTGTCATAGCGCTCATCATGTGACATCTGTTGACAGCAATGTCACGAAAAGGAATATCTCCCGCTACATTTAAAGTCCGTGGGCAGTTTATGTATGTGACTTACTGAGGAAAGAGTAACCTCTGCGACAGCCATAAGTGGGGGCATTACACTGCAGAAATGAAGGCTGGTGTCCATGTACGCACTGCTCAGTGAATCTGGTAGCAGTTTATGTTAGCAACGGGGAATAAACAAGTCATTGGATAATATGTACGGAGTGTTTTTCTATTCTTGATTGTTTCGTGGTTCTCTATAATAATGACAAGCGTTTGTCATGATGAGTATTTTGTTTTCTGCTGAAGTGCTGTTTTCGTTATCTTGTCAGTATGCTTCTGCTGGCTTGTTATTTCCTTCATAAATGCAAACTCATTCGTATGTGTTCATGCCGTATCAATTATGCATCCCTGTATTCAGTATGAGTCTCGTGAGCGAGTACAAGTATACAAATACACTACTACAGTCAATAAGATCGTGGACTGGACGCAAAGCGTCGTTGTAGTGCACTACAGTGGATAGGTTGATGCACGATATGGTGACCTGTCAGTTCACCTCTCGTCACAGCAAGAGGCAGCTGTGTGCAAACAGTGTAAGCAGAACTGCGGCCTCTATTGTGAACTGCAGTTAAATGCAGGTGGCGGAAATCGAATATGTGGCAGTTTGAACAACGGGCAAACATCAAGTTCTGCCAGAAACTAGGCAAATCCCCTACCGAAATATTTGGCGTAGGAAGACTTGGCTGTTGCTACACGACAACGGCCCTGCACATCGCTCTGTTCTTGTCCAAGAGGAACTGGCAAGGCAACAGGTCACCGTTTTGCCACACCCTCCGTACTCACCTGATCTCGCATCGTGCGGTTTCTTTCTCTTTCACCGCTTGGAACCAAAGCTGCGTGGTCGTAGATTTCAGTCGTCCGAGGAGGTCGTCAATGCCACAAGAGACGTCATACGGGAATTTCCTGCCAATTGTTTCAGCAATGTTTTCGGCAGCTATATCAACGTTGACAGGCTTGCATAGCGGCCAACGGCAGCTATTTTGAGGGTCGATGTAGACCTGTGTAAGTGTACGTGAATACTTTGTAATATGCGAGGAAACCACAGTCCACGAACTTAATGACTCTACCACGTAATACCCGTAGCCATTGCGTGCAGTTACTCTTCAAACACAACTGAAACATGCGTACGTGGACCTTCGGAGAATGATTCGGTTATTTCAGTCCTTGTGTATAAATGTAGTCTGAAATATAGATTTTGTGCACCAGGAATATTTGAAACACAGCTTAGTGGCAAAGTGGTATCGAAAGCATGATCAGAATGATTTTGGTTATAGGGCTGGTCATGTTAGAAATATCATTCACATTGGATCTTCTATGATGCAGTTCGCGTTGTATGATATTAATTTATGCATGTTTTTACTTAATTTGTGTTTACAGTAAATTACTGTTTTATTGTATTTGTTTTTTATTATTTCTGTTATAGTTTACTTTTACTGGTGCTTTTTGTTTTATTCTTGGAAGTTGATTTTTGTTGTTGTACATTGTATATCAGGGTTTATTAAATATTATTTAATTTTGTATCCCGGTTACGGAGTTCATGAATTATTCTGATTGCTACTTAATTCTGTTAGTAATATTTTGCTGTCAATAAGATGTTAATCCTTTTTGATGATATCTGTTTCTTCAAGAAGTAAATTAAATTTACGCATGATATTTAATTTTTCTTGTTTTAAGGTTTATTTTTATGCAGGGCGGCTATTTTTGGGGCAAGCTCCTAAACTTCAAGGTTTATGTTTTATGCTTGGCGCGGACCTACCCTAAAGGCAAGTTTTATAGGTCTCCAACCGATTGAGGAATAGTAGACTGAGATATAATGTGGCCACGGGGTCCTCCACTGAAGGGGCCCATAAACGTACGAGTCCGGCTCGGCGAGCTTGACTCGGGAGCCGGGCTCGGATTAATTTCACCACAAACGCATGAGCTGACTCCCAACTTTGTGACCCACACACGGGCGAGTTTTGCTCATTGGAACTCGAGCCGAGTCAGACTCGCGAGCCAGATTCGTACGTGTATGGGCTCCTTAAAACCGGACAGACCCATTAAGCATAAGTTAGCTTTACTGTGTATCAGGATTGGTTTCGTCCTATCGAGCAGAGTTGCTGCATCGTGAAGAGTTGTGTAAAGGATGGCTCCAGCTGACGTTGCGAGATGTTGCTAATCTGTTCAGCCCCATTATTCATGTTTTCCCTTTTTTTACAGGCGCACCCGGTCACTGAATGCACCGAGCCCAATCCAGCAATTTGGGCCCTGCGGCCGGATCATGAAAAACTCCGCAATGGTCATGTAAGTGTTCTTATTATTGTTATCGTTATTATTATTATTATTGTTTTAAAATTCCATAAAAAATAAACGGCTGTATTTAGAATTTCCAGATTTATGGTGTAGAATAACGTTCCCAGAAGTGGAAGCCGCAGACTAAAAAAAATTGGGAACTATTCCCTTGGAATATGTAGGCTAGTTCAAAATGCCATCTGTTCTTTCCGTTTGCTATATTATTAGCCGTTGGGAATAAGCATTTGTTGTCCTCTTATAATTTGGCCTACAGCTTAGGAACACGTTTTAAGCGGTCTGTGACTTATAAATTAAAATATTTTCTTATTTTTGTATTGCGCATTCAGTTAAATGCACTTAATGTTCTCTCATGAACTTATTTTTTATGCATCCCTTAGACCTGAAAGATTTCAACAGCGACAAGTTGTCCGTTTGCTAAAGCAAGAGCAAACATTCTTACTCTCTTTCGTTGTCTCTCGGTTTAAAATTCTGTTTTTATGAACATATCTCTTGAGATGTCCCATGAAGATTGGCAGGGGAAGCCGAAGTACTCGGAGAAAACCTGCTCCAGCGCCGCGGTGGGAAGCCAGCGACTAACCGCTTGATTATTGCACGGATTCAAAAGATAAAACTGCTTGGCTTATATTTTGTTCACCCTATTTTTTTTTATCAAATAAAAGCTCTTGTCGAAGCAAACACTTTAACTGTCTTGCATCTTTTCCTCGAATTTGTCGTTTTGATTTCGCTGAGATTTTTTTTAGTTCCTTTGGGGGGGGGGGAGACTGCGTCCACTTGGTATGTCGGCCACTAATTGACCTATTGTACCAGCCCCAGATGATAGATAATGGTGATTGTGAAGCAGTCGGTGGAATGAGAAGTGGCAGAGGAAGCCGAAGTACTCAGAGGAAACCTGACCCAATGCCACTTTGTCCACCACAAATCCCACATGACTTGACTTGGGAACGAACCATTCTGGGCCTTACCTAGGTTTCCTGTGTGTTCACTGAGTTTTGTATGTAAATTTGAACTGCAAGTGCGAGAATAGCTTGACGAACAGGCAAGACACGCTGACAGAACCCACTGCATGGACGATTTCGACAAATATATTCCCACGTTTGCAACCAAATCTTCTGTAGGTCCATAGCACTGAGCGGTGTTATACATGCAAACACAAGCGATTGTCGATGTTCGACTAAGTGGAACAGCAGTGAGTGACGTTTAGAGAACCTCAGGACAACCAACAGAGAAAGTTGCCTGATGGCACTGTGACCAATAGTGCTCTTATTGGGCAACAGCGACTAAGAAGACCAATGGTAGAGCATCACTGCCATTTGCGTAGAATCGTTGTAAATGCTTTTTACCTTTTCACTGATAATGTCGATCACAGTGGCCGCCTGGAAGCTCGTACGGTTTTGTGATCAGGATCAATCAGGGTCCCCCTTCGCGGTGTTCTTTGTTCCCTTTCTAGGTAGAGAGGATGATAAGAAATTAGCAAATGTGGGCAGTAGGTTCAGATCGAGACAGTTATATAATAGAGGGAAATGTTAAAAAAAAAAAGAGAACTCCAAAAACAAAACGATACTTAGAACTTAAATTCGCATGGAATGCACAGGGGTTTTAAATACGTATGTCTCGTGCATGGTGTTTTTGCAGCGTATTTTCTCAGATGTGGCCTACAGGTGTAATATGCTCATTCTCTGAAAGAGGATCCGTTTCTTTGAATTTTTCATACGTATGGATATTTTATTCATTTAACGTATGCAAAGCGCCAGGAGAGGCTAAAATGGAATTTGTCTTATAAATGTTATGGCAGAACTCTCATACCAACTTTAATTGAAATCCATTGAGAGCGATTTGAGAGATTAAGCTTATCGCGTAGACATGTTATGATATCCCCATTTGTTCGTTTACACGGTACAGCACAAAAAGTTGTAAGTATTCTACAAAACAAAAAGAAGTGACCGCAGTACAAGGGACATAGTCCCACCCCACCGGCAATAAAAAAATTAAATAAGCACGCGCATGCGTAAGTTGCACGGACACAAAACACTGCTGCTATATTGTGTGACGTCACGGCCTACGCGGAAGTGTGTTTACCGAAACGTGTTGCATAACCCCGTTGTTCTACTGTTGCGTGCGTCTGTTACTTAGCAATGGCTGTTTTTGTAGCTCAGCCGTTCTTGCATGGAACAAATACGCCACAGTATTTGTAAGGGAAAATCTCTGTATGAACGCCATGCTACAAAGATATATGGGAGAGCGGAGGAAGATCTCCAGGTATTCATAACCATGACACTGTACAGGAATGAATGATCAGCTTCACGATGCGGCCGCTTTACTCTCAGGGAAAGACTCCCCCCATTAGAGAGGAGGCTGGTTGGATTCCAAAACCAGTCTCAATGCGAAGGCATAGGCAGCGATTATACTCCAGTCATCCAGAGCGCAGTCAGTCACTTTACTGACTAAACTATGAGATTTCCATGTGCATTTATGGGAGAGGGTCATGTGTAAGTGGCCCCCTTGTCACCACGGCATGGCGCGTCCTCAGGTTGCGGTTGGAGGAGACGGCCCCCAGATATGGTGGGTAGCTGCTAACATATTGAATAAGCAGTCGCGGACAGCCGGCAAGGGGTGGTCCTACAGCTTGGGGGTTGGGCGTGGGGCTTACAACTCCTCGCCGTAAAAAGTAAGCTTGTTACGAAATGTCACAAAGGATCTCGGACTTGGACGGATCCTTTCGATAATCGACCTAAGCTAAGGAAAATGGATGTGAGATTTGGTACGTGGAAGGTAGAAATTCTGTATAGTGCAGGAAGGGCACGAGGCACGAATGGGGCAGAAAAGAAATGTATATAGGATATAGATGGGAAAGCCAGAAGGAAAGAGACCACTTTGAAGACCAAGACTTAGGCGGGTGTATAATATACTCGTAAAATGGATCTTAGATAGAATAGGGTGATGTGGACAGGCTTGGTCTCAATTTACAGCGCATTTGCTTGTACTGTGCATGTTTTTTTAGATCTGGCTTTTCTGAACAGATTACATTGTGTATGTGGTTGAGTCAAATAAGATAAGGACTGCAGAGTGTGTGTGGGTTGGAGCCTTGATTACAGTGCGTCCCCCTCCTCTTTCCCATGATGCAGGTGAAACCACGGCTACGCACTTCATGCCGTGCCTTGCCTCACACACAACTCACAGGCAGAAGTTCTAAACTTTAAATCCAATATTTTTTAATAAAAATCGACCATGTCTTACCACCCATGGATCTGTATTTTAACCACTGTTAATATTGGATATTTACTGCAAAGAAAAGCTTTGCGTCAGTTGATGACTATAACCTTCACTATAAATTTCGTCGGACCTATCATTCAGCGTTAGATGAAAATAGTCATTGCCAGCGAGAATTCCCGGAATTTTGTTTGTAATTTGTAGTCCTAGAAATAGCAGACTTGTTGCTTTGCCATTTGTTGGTTACAATGTACTCCGTACTTACAACGATACCAAGTTTTTACATGTACATTGACTGTCACTCTCAGAGTTCATGTAACATGGCAAACTGTTCGCTATTCAGGTACGAGTGTATCAGCAAGGTCGCATGCTTTTGAAAAATATGACCGGCGAATTTTACACGTAAGCTAAATCAAGTGTCACGTAACTTCGAACAAGGCCAAGAGTAACCTTGAATGCGCAGAAGAAAATTTTCAGACAAGGGGGTAGGTTCGAGGGTGTGAGAAGTGACAGGCGGCCAGTTGTACAAACACTTCTCACACCCTCAAACATACCCCCTTGTCTGAAATTTTTCTTCTGCGCATTCAAGGTTACTCTTGGCTTTGTTCGAAGTTACGTGACACTTGCTTTACCTAGAAACACAGCAGACCAAACGCACACATACTGTTTCACCTTAACACTTTCGTTTCTAATCATTACGATGCACATTTAATTCTTGGAACATTTGGTACATTTACATCGCGTGTTTGTATTAACCCGTGACGCGTGTGATTATACTCCCTGTCCAAGACTTTATATAACTGGATGACTAGAACGTGACAGGGCAGTATCTCTCTCGAGATGCGTTCCGTCGTCACACTTCGTGAAGTGTACCACTGTTTCAGTAGCTCTGCTATAATGTACTACATGTGTGCCAGGGTTATACCCCTCACACGTTTGCAGAACTGTGTTTAAATCGAGTGTTTCACCTGGTTCCTGACAGCATGCTGTATGTTTCTAGGACAATACAGGATCCCGCAAGCCAAAGGCTCACCTGGTACAAGCCACCGCTCACAGTTCTTGTCATAAAGAAGGTGCGCGATGTTTCCGTACTCCAGCCTTTTGTGCAGCTCGTCAAATGGCTCATCGAGGTCAGTGTTAGTGATAATGGTGCCTTTCGTTAACAGATATTTGTTGAATAATGAAGTCGACTCAACCACTCTGATTATACACGGCGTCAACAAACTAATTTCGTGGACCGTACTCCTTCAGCTAGAGAAGGAATTACCCATCTATTTAGGAACCGAAGTGTTGCCGTGTTGGGTCCCCGTTCTAAGCCAGATGAGTCCAAGCCACATCCTTGAACCCTGTTTCGTAAAAATCCTTCCATATATGCCTGGGTCTGCCAAGTTCTCTCTCTTCCCATCAGGTTTTAGAACCAGACTGTTGTATGCATATCTCATATCTTTCATGTATGATACATGCCCCGCCCATCTCAAAATGGCTCTCTCAGTACCATTTGGGGAAGAAAACAGAAATATGAAGCTCATTATTTAATTTTTTTCCATTCTCCTGTTATTGCAAGTCTAATTATCCTGTCCAACATCATGTCTTCGCAGAGGGTAGTGTAGTGGTTGAGGGGCTATGCTACAAGCCGGAAGTTCGCGGGTTCAAGTCCCGATGAGGTCATTGGATTTTTTTCAGTTTACCTAATCCTTCCAGCCGCTCTAGGTCCTGGGGTTTGCTCAGCCTCTAACAGAAATGAGTACCAGGAATTAATTAAATAATTTTCCTGGGGAGTAAAACGCGGCCGCCGCGTAAGGCTGACTACCTTACCGCCATCTTTGAGCAAATTGTCTAGATAGTGTGGGACTCTCAACATCTCACAACCCAATGGGCCTTCACGGCCTGGTACAGGGATAGCTTTACTTTTTTTACTTACTTACTTACTTACTTACTTACATCATGTCCTCAAACATCCTCACTTTGGGTAAAACAATGCAGATCCTAGCACATCAAGCAGTATTACAAATCAAACCCAAAACTTAAAGCCCACACTTGAATCTTAAGTCTTGTAGGTGGATACCAATATTTCAAATGCATTACTGTCTTTATCTTAAGGGTTGATGTGACTGTGGAAGCATGTTCCAATGAAACATTGATACCCACATACACAACTGCATGGTGTCAAAACCCAGAAGACCACAGTCTCAAAGACAGATATTCTCATTAACAGTTCATCTGGGTCAAAAATCCTATGGACTTGCATGGAAGAATAAATGGATTCTTTGTGAGAGGAACAAAGTTGTCTTAAAGAAATTCGGAGTAAGAGTGTGAACTGGATTCCTTTGACCAAGGAAAGGGACCATTATTAGGAACATACAGGTTGTGCAAAAGGCGGGGAATTTCTTGTCTAGTTGAGCAGCTACAGTCTTCTGATACTGATCTTTACACTATCTTCAAATCAGATGGAATCCATTAATATTTATTTATCTTTTACTTGATTGAAATTTAAATGTATCATATGTTAATCATGAATGGGGTAAGATATTATAACAATGTATTGCAGTGTTATACTCTTTAGTGCACTGTTCTTCAGGAATTTTTTTTCGTAGTGTCAGAGTGACCAGGAAACATCTCTACTGAAGCCACTGGAAGACAGTTCAGAATGGTTCGGGTGTCTTTGATGTTTGATCCTGTAAGATATGTACCTGGCCAACCACAGTACAATTTAATACAATAAATAATGTTCAGTATTAATGAGTTCTTCAATAAATAACCGTTCAAGATTAAATCCAGTCTCCACCATTCTCTGAGGATCAGCTTCTACCCACATAAATTAAACCTGAGTGTCTTGTATTCCCGACTCCCTGGTTTACTGCCACTTTCCCACTTTCATGCATATCACCTTTAATCCAGATTCCTGAAAGAAATTCAGGTGGTGCCCAGTAACCCAGTCATTAAAGAATAGGTGAATGTCGAAGGTGCAGGGTCACTTCTCAAGAAAGACTGCAGGGTTATACTTTTCGATGGATATCTCCTATCATAATACAAGCACTGTGATTGAATTGTTAGTATGTGTGCAGTTTTGAGAGATCATGAGCTTGATTTTCAGCTGTGTGGGTGGTTATTCTTACTGTAGTTCGTTCTAGTTTACATCCATTCCTTCAGTCAAATGTATTAACATAGGCCATGACTTTGCACATCTGACCAACTGAGTACCTGTCAGCAAACTAAAGGGAGACCATGTGGCATGTTAGATGATGTTGTATGTAAACCTTTGAGTGCATTAGTTGATGCAAATTATCTGGTTTGAATGATAACAGCAGTATCTTACATTCACAGGAGAAGCACATGGTTGTTTTTGTGGAGCAGACAGTTATGGATGACACTTTGCTTATCAACAATCCAGGCTTCTCAGTTGTGAAGGAGAAGCTCATGACATTTCGAGATGGAAAGGATGATCTCACAGATAAGATTGACTTCATCATCTGTCTGGGGGGTGATGGAACACTGCTGTATGCCAGTCTGTTGTTTCAGGTAATGAATTTCCTATTTTTATACTGCTGTGGAGTCTGTCTCTTTGTTTTCAACTTTCTGCTGACTCTGTACATTATTCTTTAAAGTTAGTTGAACAGAAATGTCAGCCCATACAAGACTCAAAAGGAATGTGTGATTTTGGTTTAAATTTACATCTCTTTATTCTTGACCTATGCCAACTGTATTTCTGTATTTCCAGACTTAGATGAATGATACTAAATAGGACATGGGTGGAGGTTTCATGCCAAATGTTTTTGAGTTCATTTGGCCACTACATTTTGTTATGACAAATTATATGACGTGTGATAGAGGCCTGAAGTTTAAGCTTGATAACCAGCTCAGTCCAGTGGACATCAGTGAAAGAGATAATTATGGAATTTGATAACAGTAACATCGCATGTTTTGTTTTATTTGCAAGAAAATCTCATGTTTGCATAGGTTACTAATTAACACAGAGTTTTACATGTACACTTTCTGATAGCTTCACAGGAATTGAACTAACTACCTACCTAACTAACTAACTAAAAAAGAGAAAGTTTCACTACAGCACTGATCCATAAATTGCATGTACATTTCTGATATAACATGCAAGGTTACATATGTGTGAGTCCTGTGAAGTGCTGGGACAGAAGTGAATGCACCCACTGAGGACAGGTGTTGTGATATACTGCCTTGATAACCTCTTAATTCACATCAAGGGCTCTGATAGATGAGCATGGAATATTAGTGGAATTATGGTTGGCTGCTGAAAACTGAAAACCCATTCGAGTGCAGTAAGTTGTATTATTATGCATGTTTTCATTATGCAATTTGAATATTGTATGACGGAAATAGTTACGGAATACTGTTTTCATAGCTCTAGCCCGTTTAGGATAGAATGCTATTGAGCATGTGTCTTCTGGGCACAGAAAAAGAAATACAGAGATGCTGTGTAGGGAGAAGGGCTTCAGTGTCTATTCCTATTTAGTCATTTGTTTTTGGTATTCTGAGCTAGTTTTGTAACATATTCTACATACATACATACATACAAGTATGTGCACTGCCCTGGGTTTGAATGTGGAACCCTATAAATATAAACCCATGTTTAACTACCAGACCTATTGCATAGCCTGATGTACATTCTGACTTTTCTGTTTATGCTTTTCCACATTGTAAGCCTCCCTCAATATATACTGATGTGAAATTTACACTAAATTTTCTAAATTCTATGTACTTCTCATGCATTAGAAAAATAACTCATAAAATTACTTTTTGTATATGTCCTAAAGTTGTATATGGCTGTTTGACTTTGTGTTTTATTTACACGTATAAATTAAAATTATATAAATACTGATTATTTAAATTGGTTTTCTCAGCAATCTGTACCACCTGTCATGGCATTTCATCTTGGTTCCTTGGGATTTCTCACACCATTCGAATTTGACAACTTCCAAGAGCAAGTTACAAATGTATTGGAAGGTAATGTAATAGTTTATAGTAGACTGATGCATGGAAGACTCCAGGAAACAATCATAATTTACTGAACTGGTCTAAAGGAATAGTAATGGCAATATCTGTGGATGGTTCACATCGCCTTGTATGAAAACAATCAACATCTTATTGCTGACTTGTTCTATATCTGAGGCAGACACCTCCATGGATTTTGTAGAGCTGTAAATAAATGAATGAATGAATCTTTGAATGCCTCTCCCATTTATACCCAGTAACTGTAGTTCTGCCTGTTAACAGCTGTATAATCGTCATCTTGTTCGAACATCAGCATTGTCTCGAATCAGCAAACTCTGTTCAATGTGTGTTGTGCCTCTGTAGAATCTTGTTCCTAAAGGAAAATACGAATTGTGGATTGGTAATGACTGCTTGTAACTTACAAATAATTAAAATGGCTAACTCTCTTTTGTGAGAAGGACAATGCAGTTTTGATCCATCTTTTCTGCCCATTATTTAATTTCCATGTGACTGATTCTTAGATTATTTAATATTATGGTTATTTCAGGTGCAGAGGTTATATAGTATAATATGAGCAAGGAATTCAGGTAGGATAACCTAAGGGGTGTCTGAAATTTGAACTGTTACCTCCTGAGTAATGATGTTGAACCAACCTGATAATGATTACTTTGTGATAATTCACTCATCAGATTGTGATTGTGTAAACTGGATCAGCTTTCTCAGGGCAGGGTTCAGTAGTATTATTGCACATAAGAAGTCTTGGATTATGATAGGGCAGCATTAGTTGCTTGGTGCTTGTATTTGTCACAAAAACTTTATACTCATATTTGCCAGTTTTTGAACTCAACCTTTCCTCAACTGAGGCACTGCACTTGGCTGAGTTTTCTGGAAATCTCTTATTTTGCACTTGGCAGTGTTTATCATAGAAATAGTAATAGTTTAAAAGAAATTGAATTGTGTAATGAAAACAATAATTGAGGTGAAAACTGATTTCTCTAACAGGACATGCAGCATTGACACTGAGGAGTAGGCTCAGATGTATCATCGTGAGGAAAAATGATGAACTGAACAGAACATCGAAACCTCCCACAAATCTTCTTGTACTTAATGAAGTGGTGATTGATCGAGGACCTTCGCCTTACCTCTCAAACATTGATCTATTTCTTGATGGAAAACATATCACTTCAGTGCAGGGCGATGGTGAGTCAGCATATTTTATATCATGTGCTGAGGAAAGCTGCATCTTTCCTTATATGAATCGAAAGTCAATGAAAATACTGTGACATGACACTGCTTCCAAGACTCCTCCTATTCTTGTGTAACATGTTAAGTGGGTTGTTGCCTAGCAATGGTCCAGATATTATTTACACAGGACCATGTTTTGGTTTCCAAGGAAACGTTTACCATACGTTGCCTAGCAATGGACGGCTTTTCTGGGCCCTCTCTTCTGGCTTACGACCGTCATGTCACAGTATTCATTCAACATCCACTATGTCATTAAGGAACAAAAGCTTAATGTTTATAATGGTCTTAAAAATCCCCTTAACATTGTGTTTTTGCTTCCTCTGTTATGATTATACTCGTAATTCCATGATATCATCAGCCACCTGCTGTCACCCATTCCATCTATATGGTCTTTGCACATCTTTCTTTATTTAACAAGCCTGTAAATATAATATAATAAATTGTACGAAATTACCAATATCACTTTCTGAAACTTGCTTCAGAATGTGAGTCATGAAATAATAGGGAAAGTCTCCCACTATTCCCACTTTCAACCGTTATGTCACAGTATCACTCATATTACTTCTCTAAAACTTCCCTTTTGTACACCTAAAATATGTATACAAATTCTGGTACTAAATTGTTCAATGGCCCGAATATATGTCCCCCAGGTCAGCTGTATTATTCTTGTAATCAGTAAACAAAATTGGCTGAGTGTATTTAAGTTGCAATGAAATAACACTAAGGAAGACAGCATGCCATGAAGACTGACTGTAATTGCTATGTGATGCGGAAACTATGTTATAAGAAGGAGAAACAAAGGTCACAATAGAGTTCTCTCTCACTCCAAGGTCTCATTGTTTCAACACCAACTGGAAGCACGGCTTATGCAGTTGCAGCGGGAGCATCCATGATCCACCCCAGTGTACCAGCCATCATGGTTACTCCAATATGTCCCCACTCACTCTCTTTCAGACCCATTGTGGTTCCTGCTGGAGTTGAACTGAAGGTAATTCTTACTGTAATCAATAACTGTAGATAAAACTAAATGTATGAACATGACTTGGAACCAAAATCAGCAACAGAGTCTTAATATACAATATCTGTGTAACTATCATTTGAGAATAGTTAACAATTAAATTATCTGGGAACAACAGTAGCGCATAGGAATGAGTTTATGAAATAAGTAGGGAGAAAAATAACTGTGGAAATGATTGTGGAAACTGTAACCACCCCTTCTACTTTTCAAAATGGCAAAAATCAAAAAAGCTTTCTCAGTTGTGTGCAAAGTGTGGTCTCTGACATTAAGGGAGAAGTCACCTAAATCATGTGCTAAGGAAAATACTTGCACTTCAGAAGGGTCAAATAGTTTTATGCGGTAGGGTGGGGTGGGTGAGACTGAGTCCACTTGGTACATCAGCCACTAATTGGCCTATTGTACCAACAGGATGAAGTAAGTGATTTGTGTAAGATGTAATGGGAAAACTAATGATATATAATCCAGCGACCTAGCATTGTTTGAATAGTGAAATCTTGAGGGTTAGATGGTTTGAGTATGTGGCCATGATGGAGGAGCCAAGGAATGTGTACAGAATTTTTGTGGGGAAACATCTCTTGGATGACCAAGTTAAGGATATGGGAGGGTAACATAAAAATGGATCTCAAGTAGATAGATGGGAGGTGACTAGAACTCCCTGAGGATTATGTCAAGTGGTGGACTTTTGTATTAGTGGTGTTGAACATTTTGGTTCTGTTACAAATATTTTAGTTTGGTTACTAGTCTCAGGAGGTAAAGGGCAGACACAGTTTTGTTTTTTATTCTTCTGCTCCCAAAATGTATGTCTGTGCTGTCATGTGTGCATTATTGTAGTCAAAGTATATCACCATGTAGGGCCTTCATGATGGCATGTTTCAGGGTTCACATCCTATAGAAACATCTGGATAAATAAGTAAAACTTGTTTATAGTACTAAACAGAATTTAGTTTCTGAAGAAAGGCTTAGTGACTGAGGCCAAAATATGTATTGGCCATATGATGTTGCCATATTTAAGCCTCTCTGTACTGAAGTCTTTGTATTTATTTGGAATAAGGAAGTGTCAAAGGACATAAGCGTACATCTGAAAATTAGACCAATTTTATTTAATAAAAACTTAATCCAACTTAACTTTATATATCAAGTGAGATATATATTTACATATGTAGCATGGCAAATGGTTAATTTAATTGTAACTTACTTTATAAGTGTAACCTAGAAATAAGACATTTAATATAACTCCAAGGTACAATAATACCTAGAAGATGTTGAATTTATACATTGTTGTTTGTATCAAATGCTTATTTACTAAATTAATATTTGTACAAAGGTGCCAATAACACGTTCCTTTACTGGTTATAATTTTAATAATTTTATTAATTTTGTAAGTTTCATATTATTTTTGTGCCTCTTTTATATTTGTCTAATATTCAAATACCAAGTATGGATAGTTACTATAGGATTCCAAGGATTCCAAGTATGGAATATAACTTGCATATAGGAGCCAGTTCCATTGCCTGGAACTTTCATAGTTCTAGTACAAAATTCCTGCGAGTGTTTAGAAGCTAATTTCATGATAGACCTACAGCATACTTTTGAGAATATTCTGCAACTTACAGTTTCATTTAGCTAACAGATATATTGATGTGAGTGTGAAGTATACTAATTTTAGAAGTAGTTGTTTTCTATAGACACACCCAGAAGACTTTCTTTCCATTTTCACACTTATTATTAGCTAGAAAATGGAGATAAACTCTTAAGACAAAGTATTCAGATTTTTATAATGCTCTGTGATGCCCCCGTTTTTCGCATGATCAACACAATATGTCACACACAATTCAGCAAATACAAGTATTGTTTCCAGACTAGGTCCACATAGGTTTGTTTCCTGTAAACTGAGTTTCTGTTCATATTCAAACATCATACATTCTGTTGTTTTTATCAGTGGTTTAGTGAGCACCTAGTACAGGTGTGATTATAGCCTTCTGAGTTTAAGTTAGAGTGGGAGAGGCACATATGGAGATACTTGACATGGCAAGAAGAACACTGACTGAAGCAGTAATGCTTTTTACTTGGAGATAGGAAACTGAATTTGGTTCCTGGGATCCCGCCTGATTGTTTCTTTCCTTAGTACCTAATACGTAGGTCATACCGAAAGTCATGAGCAACTTTTTTTTTTGCATGCAACCTGGGAACAGCAGACAAAAGAGAGTATGGTGGTAAGTGGAACCAGCTGTTGTGTTAACCTTGAGTGTCTCATGAAGTCAATAGCTTGCATCACGTGACCAGTATCACTCCTAACAAAATGGCTGACAATGATATGTCGTTTCGTCAGCGTGCTGTCATTGAATTTCTTGTGAAAGAGGAAATGCTTGCTGCAGAAATTCACCAGATACTTCATTGTGCTTATGGAAGTGTGTGCATGGGTGCGAGCAGTCTTCCAAGATGGGCGAAACATTTTAAAGATGGGAACACCAGCATCGAAGATAGGCCTCAGAGCGGTCGTCCTCGGACAGCCTCAGCCGAACGAAACAAGGAAAGAGTGGATGAGATCATTCAAGATGACAGGCGTGTGACTGTGGACACAATAGCCCAAAAACTTGGAATAGGGTGCAGTGCAGTACAGGAGATGATTGAAAGCTTGGGCTATAGGAAAGTTTGTGCTCGTTGGGTCCTGTGGTTATTGACTGAAGACCACAAAGGTCAGCGAAAAGCCATCACCTCAGAACTGCTGCAGTGATATCGACATGAAGACAATGATTTTTTGCTCTGTATTGTGACAGGTGACGAAAGCTGGTTTCACCATTTCGAGCCTGAAAGAAACGACAGAGTATGGAATGGCACCATTTGCATTCTCCATCAAAAAAGAAGGCAAAGACAGGGCCATCAACTGCGAAGGTGATGGGCACAGTCTTCTGGGATGCAGAGAGGTTTATTCTGGCCGAATTGCTGGAACCTGGGCAAACCATCAATGCTGCTCATTATGTTCAGATGCTGTACAAGCTCTGTCATGCATTGCGCGATAAATGTCCGGGACGAAACATCATCATCCTGCATGACAACGCTCGCCCCCATGCTGCTCGCCTCACATTGGAAGCAATTGCAAAGATGATGTGGAAAGTTCTTCCACACTCCTCCTATAGCCCTGATCTGGCACCCTCTGACTGCCATCTTTTTGGATTTGTGAAGGATCAGCTGCGTGGACAACGTCTTGAGATAAGGGAGGCAATTCAGAAAGCAGTGCACCAGTGTCTTCGGATTCCTGGAATGGAATTTTACAGAAGGGGCATTTTCAAACTCCCAGAATGCTGGGAGAAATGTGTACAAAGAAGTGGCGATTATGTAGAAAAATAAAGAAAGGTCTGTAGATTGAGGTGGTGTATTTGGTTTGTCAATAATAAAGCCTGTTACTTTACAAAAAAATTGTTGCTCATGACTTTCAGTATGACCCTCGTAATAATAACAGACTATGGACATGATCTGCCTAACATTTCTGGCTGCAAACGTACAGAATAACCTTCAAATCATAAATATGTTTTTAAAACAATCAAGTAGAATTCAGTGCATTTGTTACACCCTCTGTGCAACAAATAGCAAGAGTTTGATTCCCTGAAATTTTGTTGTCCAAGGTTTCTGTTTCTGTGTTTCTGTTGGTTCATCACTTGATGTTCTTGTATATCAAACCCTGCAATAAAGTGTCCACTGAACATCATGGTTGAGTAGTTAGCACACATGCTTCATATTCAGGAGGTCATAGGTTCAGTTCTCAGCATAGGGGCTGGCCTTTGTGAGATGATTATGATTTCTCTTAATCCTTTCGGGCAAATACCAGTAAACTGCTGTAAAGTAGACCACAGTTTTTAACATTAAAATCCATATCATTATACTTCAGCAGATTAAAAAATATGTTAACACCGTTGAAATAAATCAAACATTGTTGTATTCATATGGTTTAATGCTTTAATTAACAGACAACAGCCATTTCCTTCTACATCCACCCCAATTCCTTGTTTACAGTCATTTTCTCATTTCTTGCTATAAAATCTGTACAAATTGAGAAAGTATCATTAAACCAACGAAGAAACAGTCTAAAAATAGGTTACAGATCACAATAGGAAGGGGTATGAATTTTTTTAAATTGAATGTGGTATGTTTATTGGATATAGAAAACATTATGAATATTAAAGGGAATCATGAATGGAAAGAAACTGAACTATGTCTGATTTGCTTCATCTATACATTTTACAGCACTGTAACACTACTTTTTTCTAGATCTCTGTATCTCCTGATAGCAGGAACACATCTTGGGTGTCATTTGATGGGCGCAACCGGCAAGAACTGTTTCATGGTGATAGGTAGGTGAGGTTTCACCCTGTGCTGTACAGCATCCATCATGTCTTTGCTTGTGTGACTTGTGTTGGATGTCTGCCTGCATCCAGTCTGATGGCGATTAGCTCACTGCATGTGGTGCATTGCATTGTAAATAGAATGGTTGTTCTGCTAGCCATTCAGCACTCGGGGGGGTGATGTGGCTCTTGTTCCTCATTAGAGTTGGAAGTCTGTCTTCATTGCGTAGAGACCAGTTGTATAAATTGGTGTTAGTAGAAGTAAAACAAATTCTTGTCAGTCTGTTGAGTTATATTGTGATGTTTCAAACTAAATCACTGGTGTTTTAGAGCATCTTAACTTGATTCCTTAACTTAAGAGATCCAACAATATTTCTGAAAATCTTAAAACCAGCTTATTACTTAAATTGTGGTGTGAACTGATATATGCAGTGCATAAAGTGATACAGTTGTAGTCATGAATGCTATAAAAATAATAGATTCTTTCTTTTGATAATTACTACCAGATATATTAATTCACATATTTTTTGTTTCCAGTTGCACATGTCTGTGCCAAGAGGGACATTGTTCTGTTAAAAACTCAGCACATCTTCACAAATGTGGCAAGTGTGGCCATCTTGTAAATATGTAGTGCCATCATATGCATATGATTTGGCGATATTTACAAAATATGTATTATTCCCACTAAAGGGTCATAAAAAGCTGTGCTTGTAGCTTCAAAATGTGCTTTCTAACAAAGGCACTAATTCAACTATGGTATATGATTGGTTTTACCAACAGTTCTATCTATAAATTAGCATAAAGCGCATTGAATTGGGATAGTACCTCAATTAGGTCATGACCACCTCTTTCCAAAGCCTTCCCAATTCTTCGTTCATCCATCATACTAGAGTTCATTGCTACATACTTTGCAATACTGAAGCGTTGAAAAGTTACCAAGTGAAAAAGTCCGTTGAAATTTCAACAGGAAATCATTAAGAAGACTTCGTTGTAAATATCTAACATTGGTAACTTGATGTAGAAACAAACTTCATCAAGAAACTGAATCTCTTTTTTTCTTCAGTTTTCAACTGAGCATCATAATCGCAATTGTATTTCTTTCAGTCATAACTAGGCCAACTGTAACAGTTGGTGGTTGAGAGATTTAGTCCTCAGATACAAAATAAACACTGACAGATACTTCATAAATTTCACTTATTACTGTTGCTTCAACATTTCCAATCTCAAATGCATGACTTATGCAAAACCTTCAAAATAAACATTTTCCATAGGTAACCCTTCCATTGGTCCATGCATGTACATTAACAAGTCAAGTGTATATTTCCTGTTATTATCTCTCCCACAGTGGAACATTAAAATTCCCCAGACTTTTAAATTCTTGCTCCAGCATTTAATTTTATAATTATTCCTCTTTTTTTAAAATTCATTATCTCAGTTATGTATCAGTATAAAATCATGGAATAAAAAATCTCAGAAAGTTCATATATCTATATTTTAATTCATATAGCTTGTACATTAAAGTTTATATATATTTTAGTAAAATTCCATACTTTTGGCTTTATTCTTGAAAAGTATACCACTGTTGTGCATTTCAGTTCCCAATACATGACCACAAAGGCATGTCTGACTTGTGCACCTTCACTATATGCAGTCGTGGCCAGCACCAGCTGTTTAGAAATGAAACACAATCATAGAAGCTGACTCTCCAGCCTAAACACATGTTTGCATATTTGATTACTGTGACATTATACCACGACTTGTTACAGCTCTGACTGCCTCATTGATAACAGAGGTTTCTTATTGACCTGTGGGCTGAATTTGTACTTCCTTTGTAAGCGTAGCGCTACTGTGGATAAATGAACTGTGCAACACAAGCTGTTTGGTCTTCCAAATATGGACTGCAAAAGCGGTGTCTTGTTCAGACTATGAAGCCATTACTAAAATGATTATACCACCAGAAATAATTGTAGCAGCTGCAGTGGCACATACTGTGAAAGTCCTTATGTTGTAGTTTTCAATACCAGCACTTTCTAACCACTAAAATATTACATTCAGATACTTCTTAGCCACCTGCTGAACCTCGATCCCCTTTCGCACTTCTAGAAGTCAGCTGTCATATGGTTAATGTTGGAAACAAGGTGCAGCACACAGGGCCACCCTACAGTTTTCACAGTTGTACTTTGTATCTTGACGTTGACCCTTCTTGTCAACAAAATGAAGAAACCTGAGTAGAAGGTGAAACCTCCTCTCACCGAACAGGTCCAAGAATAAGGGTATTTCCAGAATTTTCCTCCGGGAAAAATAACTCTTGTTGTCTGGTTTTTGGTGAAGTCCTTGTAACAGAAAGAATGTCAGCAACTTCATTTTTTCATTTCTGTTCATTTCCTTCAAGTGCTGGGTCCTGGATCTTAGTGTTAGATTAGGCGTGTTTTCTAAAAAAATTGTCAGCATATTAATTTGTTCCTCTGGCTATCACTTCCATAATTCTTGGTGTACAAAACAACTCAAAATATTCCAGGGGGTTACTGGGGTCACCTAAATCAACTTTTATGCCAGACTTGCCAGTAAATGGAAAATGTGGTCACTCAGCACCTGAATTTGCCCATGCGTCAGGTTGCATGCTTCTCTTGTCACTGACATTTTCTTTTTCAGGGCTATCATTCTGTTCACCACATGATGCAATTTTAACATTTATCTCACTCTGACTACTGTACACACTCTCAGAAATATCACAGTATTCTCATGCAGCAGTTCATGTACACAACCTCATCATTCACACACATTTTCTTGCTAGGACCTGCCATAATGCTTACTCACAAAAACTTGAACCTGGGACAGCTTTCAAGCAATCAGCACCTTCCTGTCACACTCTGAAGTAACTAGAAGATCTGGCAAGCACAACATACAAATTTGCATTGCTGACTGTCATTATGTTGAAATATGCAAGTGTTAAGATGTCATATCGACTTAACTGGGGAGCCAGGCTAGCATAGTCAGTACAGCAACTGGCTATGGGCTGAACGACCGAGGGGTTGGAGTTTGAGTCCCAGTAGGGCCAGGAATTTTCTCATCTCCACCTTGTTCAGACCGGCCCCGGGGTCCACGCAACCTCCTATCCAATGGGTATCAGGGGCTTTTCCCCTGGGTGTAAAGCAGCTGAGGTGTGAAGCTGACCACTCACCTGCAGATAGTGCTGAGGTCAAGAAAATGTCGATCTGTACATCCTCACACACACACACACACACCTCCATGGCGTAGTGCTTCATTAGTTAAGCACAAGGACAACTATACATTTTACCTTTACCCACTTAACTGGTTAAATTATGTCATTGGATGTGCATGCCATTAGCAATGGAAAGTGGTTTTTGAAACAGGTTGACATTGCTGTGCTGACTGAAGCATAGTTACCTGGTGCCTGGTAACTCCCTATCCATAGGTTAAGTGTATGCTCATAAACATATATATATAAAATTCTCAATTTTTATCCCTGTAGAGATAGAGACTGTAGCAGTACTAGTAAGTCTATGAAAATACTTCTTTCCCAGAGGATGTTGGATGTTCTTCTTATTGCATTGTAGTGACTGACAGTGAAGAGCAGAAATCAGTTTTAAAACTGGGGAATATTTAAAATGGTGATCAGTGATCTTTGGCTCAAATTGCAATTGTATCACAACTGTGCAGTTTCGTGAGTGTTTGTGAGTAGGGATACTTGACAGAAAGCGTGCAAAGGTTGAGTGCTTGGAGCTGTTAGTGCTGAAACACCATGGTTTGGTGTGTTGAGCTCCACTCGTGATGACCAAGTCCCGTACAGCATCTGCTGGAGATTTGCGAGTCCAAGTTCTGTCATCGGTGGAACTACTACAGTATTGCCCAAAGATGTAACAGAAGTTTGTAGTGATATGATATGCGACTGTTTCAGATAATGCTGAACAGTGACGCAAGAAGTACTGCCTGTGTGTCGTTTGATGGGCGCTACCAGCAGGAAATGCATGTTGGAGATAGGTGTGTCTTCACATAAGATGGTCTTCATTCATAATGAACTTAGTATAACAATCTTGTGTACTGGGCTGGTGGTGTTAATAGAATTTGTTGAATTATATTTTCTCTTCATGCAGCTATCTTATTAAAAGAAATTCTAATGATCATATATCTGCTTTCAGCTTATGTATTCATCATTGGAAGTTCTGAGTCCTTTGGTGAAAATCTGTTTTACTAAATGTTCTTGTTCAGAACTTACTTTTGCTTTCATTGATACCACATCATATACTTTCTTTCACTTCATCTACAAGTGGATTCCCTTATATGTATCAGCTCTAATTACTGCTTTAACCAAAGGCATCTGATGAAAATATGAGTATATCAAATACTGATATTAATTGAATTCAAGCTACTTATTTTAGGCATAATGTTATTGCTTCCTCATTTAGTTTATAGAGCCTACTATTTAAACACTTTCTTGCCATTTTTACTGTTGAAATTATTCGTTTTAAATCCTTGTCTTCTGGATTATGATTGTTTTGCATCACTAAACAACTTTTGCTGCAACACTAAGCACCCTAGTCTTGTAATGTAATTCAGATGTTTCAAATTAATCATTGTTTTGTGTCAGAAGATAACAGAACTCTTTTGTTTCTAACTGTCATGTCTGAAGCTGCAAGCACCAATCCTGCTGCACTACTACTACTACTACTACTACTACTACTACTACTACTACTACTACTACTACTACTGCTGTTATTACTACTACTACTACTGCTGCTGCTGTGTCTGCAATTATGCTTCTCATTCATTTTTCATTTTCATCAGTAATCTGTCATACGACTATCCACTGCGATGTGGACTGCGATGCTTCTCATAACCCTCAGAAAATGGCATCAATTTTACAATAGGAATTTCTGTATGTCTGAAACTTCCATGGAAAGGAAACAAAACAGGTTATGCCTGTTAACTTGCATTTTAATAGAGACAAATATACAAGTTTCATTTTTTGTTACTAACAGGTTTGTTTGAATATATTTGTATACTCATTTGTTTGTCTGGTTGGTGACTGGTGGAGCTTGTTAAGTAGTTTTTTCTAACAGCGAGTGAATGGATGTTTTTGAAGTTAATGTGTAATTCCGGGTAGTAGTTAGTTAAATGTAGCTACATAGCAATTAATAATATAATTCTGCAGTGTACAGTATTGGTGTAATGCCTCCTCCCCTCACCCATAATGTCCCCCTAAGTTTTTCATGGTGCACTATTAGTTTTTGTCACTAATTGCACAAGAACTAATTTCAAGTCTTGCCCTTTTCACTGCAGTACCTACTAATGTTTGCACTGGTAACTTTCTGCACAATGAACCTGCCACTGGATCACTATCTTCCCATCTAGAGCAGGTAAATGCTATTTTTTGAGAAAATAATGTGATGGCTCTCCTTACAGAGGTGGGTAAAAGTAATTTGTAGAGGAAAAATTGTGATTCATCCCCACTCACACCTTAATTTTCAAGAAGCAGGTAAAAGCTACTTTTAGGGAAAATATTGTGATAGTCCTCAGCCCTGGTCTTCCAGAAGCAATTAAAAGCTGTTGTTAGAAAGATGAAACTTTTTTATCCTGAAGTTGCAAGGGACAGTCACAAAAGCCATAAACCACTTAAATGTTGTGCTGGCTATGATTTTCAGCACTTAGTACGATTTGATCAGTAACAGGAGCAGTATTTGTAGACAATATAATGAGCACCCATACAATAGAGAAATACATTTCGAAGATATGTGTTTGTTTTTTATTATATGGCAGTAAGAACCTCTTATAAAAATAATCTGTATAACATAAATACAGTTGTTCCCGTCCCTCATCACTGGAATGGTTTGTGTGCAGTGCATGCCTGATCCATGGGGTGTATAGACACATTCATATGGTGATCAGTTGATTTTAGATCATATCACACCACATTGTGCATGTGGCAAGGCATGTTGAATGTGTTGCTGTTTTAATATATGGGATATGAAGTTTAACATACTGAAGATTATAGTATTGTGGGTTATGACACCATTGAGTTTCATAGGTGGTAACCAGCATTTTGGAGGAACTTGTCTTCATTTTCAGGTAGAAGCTGGGGGCAGCAGGTTCCACAAGAATGTTGGTAGCAACCTATAAAAGTACACTGGCAGAAAACCCACACCGTAATCTGAATGCATTGTTTTAATAAACCTTTGTGTCTGTGTATGGTGTTATATATATTTTCTTTTTCATTTCGTGCATCCTGTTGTGTTATTATATAAAATTCTTTGTTGGAGTCCATCGTAACACAACAACATAACAGTCAAGATGAAAATGTTTCAGCTTTTAAAACCATCATCAGAGTTGGAATCTGTATTCCGAACAGAACGGACAAAGTACACTGTAAGATGAGACAACGACCAAACAGTTAATGTCAAATAATACTACATCTATACCACGGGCCTCCAAGCAGTTTACTGTATGTATACAAGTCTAGAATATACCATTATGTCAGCAGGAATATAACAAGATTGCAGCAACTGACTTCATGATATGCAGTATCACATGAAGAGTTTTTAACCATATTTCACTCAGTAACTTTCTTTTTATGATAAGCTTATAATTCATTGTATTTTTATACCATGTATTTTATAATGTAACAGTTATCAAGTATCCAGCTTTACTATCACAATGAAATTGCAGATCAATAGTGTGTGAACATAGTAAACATGTGTTTTGCCTGATGATGGCTTTAAAAGCCGAAACATGTGGCTAAGCTAATTTTAANTTTGTTGCAGCTCTTTGCTAGTTGTATACAGAATCTTTGGCACCTTGCCTATGGCACATAGGAGAGGGGTAATTACAGCAGTAGAGTCCAGCATCTTCATAAATATGGCACTAATTTTTACAAAAATAATGTTGATGTGGCAACAGAATTGTTATTTTCCCCTTTATCTCTTTTGTAGCTTGTGACAGTAGCACAGGAAGTTTTAATTTTAACCAGAAAATTATTTTATGTATGCTGTGATAAACATTATGCCAAGACCTGAAGTGAAAGGCATAATACAGATTCTTTAATATTCTTCAGAAATCTGATGTCAAAGGATGGAATGTTGAAGGGTTAACAGGCTTTTTTTCTTTCACCATATTTGGAAATGTGGATTAGTGAACTATACATAGACTTTCAATATTCTCTCCTGAAGTGCAAATCAGTTTGACATCTTATTATGCAAAGATAAATGTAATGCATCTGTTATATTTCACTGTAGAGAAAACACTGTGGAACATTTACTGGAATCTGGGTTACAGAACTGCATTTTCTTTTTTATGTTACTGCGGTTATTGACAAGAAACTATTTTCTTCCATTCTAAGGAATTTGGAACTTGATCATTGATTAGAACAATGTGCATCATACAGTGAAATGTTATTACAACAAATTCGACAGGACTATGAAAAGTCATTCATTAAAATGTACATGATGTAATGGATGGTTATAAGTACATAAAATTAATTTTTATGTTAAAATATGTGACTAATACAAACCATTACAACTATTTACCTAATTTCCTAGATGGGATTTAATCACAGTTATGTTATGTGCATCTTGGGAATAGTGGTAAAGAGGATCAATCAAAATGAAAAGGTAACTTTAAGTTGACTCAAAATTCATTTCAGTTTATGTAATGGGTATTACACTGAGGCTCCTTGCTCATGTCACTTATCCTTGAACACATTCTTATACATTGGGTTAAATTACAATATTACAGTCAATATGTTGCTGAAACTTTATGGTTGAGTTAACATATCTGTGACCATTATTAAATTGTGAGGAATTAAGGGAAGAAGTCAGAACAAGGTGTGGGGGGGAGGGGAATGTTTGGACCTGAGAAAGACAGATGAACAGGATGAAAGAGATAAGTAAATAAAGAGGAACTTCATAATTTACCGTATTTACGCATGTATAGGCTGCAGCACAATTTTCAGACAGAAATTATAGAAAAAATAATTTTCTTGGAATATTATTTCAGGAGTAGAAATTATTACTAATTATGAATATAATTTTTTTTTAAATGAAGTGTGATTTCGAATATTTCGAATATAAGCCACACCCCAGTTTTCCTCTTGAATTTTTGGCAAAAAATGTGCGGCCTATACATGCGTAAATACGGTATATCCTTCACACAGAATATTAGAACGATGGAGTCAAGGTGGATGAGATGGTTGCAGCATGCAGCATGCATAGGGAAGATAAATTTGTACAAAATTTTAGTCAGAAAATGTGAAGATAACTTTGGAAGTCTGGACATAGGCATGAGGATAATATAGTGAGATATTCTCTACCTAGCACTGACTATATTCTGAAAATATTAAAGTAAATGAGGTGGTTAGCCAAGGTTTATCAGATATTTTTAGTTCCTTTACAATATGGTCATGATATTCTCAGTAATACAGACCAACTGCTGCTTAAGAAAACACAGTTTTACTACTTGTCACACCCAGAATGAAGGTTATGTGCATGATCTCATATGAAACAGAAAGATTCCATCCAGTCCTACAGTATTACTGTTTAAATAGATGGATTTCAACTGACTGCATTAATTTTGGAATCCTGCATTAATTCAATTTTATAAATGTACTTATTACGTGAAGTTCTTAACCATGTCGCAGGAGGTAAACTGAAGTTTAGGGTATAATAGAACTTAAGGAAAATAAAGCGAGTTTTTCAAACAAACAATATCAATTTAGTCAAACTGGCCACCACGTCATCTCCCACTAAGGGAAGAATAGTAAAAATTATTTATATGTTGGTGGTATTTGTACTGGAATAAAAAACCATTCTTTGAACTTTCACAGTTTCAAGAGCAGTAAGCCCCCTTGTAACAGAGGGAAAAGGGCTGCATAGTATGAATGAGTGTTTTAAATAATAAAAGACAGAATAAAACTGCATATGTATTGTAACTTGACTTATATGTATATGAAGATGTGTTGCTTGATAGCCAAGTGTCATACAAAAGTGCCAGCAACAGTTATTGGGCAAAATGTAATTGGAGATATTAGAAGAAAACACTGGGTTTTTTCAAAGTTAAAGGAGGAGTTAAATTATAAATAAATGAAACAGAAGACCTATACAAGCTAACAAATAATGTTTTTCTGTTAACAGCCTTCGTGTGACAACATCTGTCTATCCAGTGCCTTCAATATGTGCACAAGACCAAATCTCTGACTGGTTTGATTCCCTGGCAGAATGCCTTCACTGGAATGTGCGTAAAAGGCAGAAACATCTTGATGAACTCAGTGACCTCACACATTCCAGTTCCAATGATACGCTCGACTCTCTTGACCACACAGATCAGCTTGACAGCTAGACACATGCAGGTGTGTATGTATTAACTTCTTCTGCAGTTCACACTGTGTACCTCCTCATTTCATGAATGTTCAGTTGGTGAATATTTTGCATTATTTCTTTTAAGAAATGGATACTCCATTTTGATATATGTAATGAATTCTTGCTACTGCAAGAATGACAATTTTCTGTGTTGCAAGTTTTGGCATCATTGAACAGTGGCTCTGCCTCCTTCTAATTCCTGTTGTTTGTGTTTGGTTATTATTGTTTTTTGCAAGGTGATCGCTCTTTATTGAGGAAAATTATTGGGGATGTATGTATTCACCTTCCTTTAGTGTTACATGTGTATGTCACTAACTTCTCTTGTCATACTGTATCTGTAGTGAAGAGTATTTAAATTAGTTGTAAGTTAATTGTTTAATTTTTGCCTACAAAATGAATTTCAAGGAACATGTCTCTTTTATAAAACAAGCAGTTAGTGTCATTATATTTGATGTGGGAACAATTGGCAGACTGTTATGAACAGGGTTGTAACTGTAAGCAAATTAACTTCCTTCTTGAGCTACAATGGCATCTTCTCTCTTGCTCTTGTTCAAGTAGGTCAGCCCTTGGGAAAATCATATTAAGAATCCCAGTTAGGCCAACATCAAGCATAAGAGACATCAGGGGTTTAAGAGGTGAACACTGGATTCTGAAATGAGGTATGGAAGTGGGTTAGTATTAGTAGGTAGCTCAGAGGAGATGAACTGAATGTTGTGTATGGTTAGCATGTTGGAGAAATATACTCAGTTCACTGGTTAAGGTCACCTTATCGTAATGTGACATAACAGTAATAATGCAGTCAATGATACAGATCTTAACAAAATACAATTCACAAATAGGAAATGGTAACAAGAGATGAGATGCAATACTGTTGAATCATTGATAACTTTACAATTAATATTGTAACGTGTTTCATTACTGAAGACGCCGTTCAGATTGTTAAATGGTTTATTTAATAATCTACAAGTCTTGGCTACAATTAATTACAACAATGTTACGGGTTTACACAATTTACAACCCTACACAATAATCAATTCACACTATCACGATTCACTCGTTACAACTGAACTCGGTGACTACTACAATTCAACTGTCTTAGGCGGAGATAGGGGTTAGCTCTGTCTATTGGACCCAACTGAGTAGGTTTTACCTGAAGACGGAGACAGAATCCAGTCTCTAAAACGTTGTTTTTTTTAAAAGAAACAGGACGGTTTTTTAAGAACAGACTAGATGATGGATAATGTCCAACAACATGTTAATTGTAACTATTTACCATCATCACAAACTTGTAGATCTTAATTGATAACTTTGGTTGTTTTAGAACATGTATGTGAAAGATCAATATTGGTCCTTTTCTAGTTCTGTGAAGATTAGAAATGACAATGTAACAGATCTTTAATGGATTCAATTGTGTATATCCAGCTTTAGCTGGAGTAAATCAGGAACTTTAAATCAGATACCCTAGTTGAGACAGTTGTGGAAACAGTAGAGATCTGCAGAAAGAGAAGGGTCTTAGAAGTCTGTACAGAATGTGATGAATAGTGTGTAAGTATGAGAATAAATGTGGCCAAGGGTAACTGTCACAGAAAGAAGTAACATTTCAAGCTTGTCATCTGTAGTTCAGA